ACAGGTGCCTTACTAGTAGTAACAAGAAGCTACTAGAAACAAGTGCCACGCTAGTAGTAACAGGTGCCTTACTAGTAGTAACAAGAAGCTACTAGAAACAAGTGCCACGCTAGTAGTAACAGGTGCCTTACTAGTAGTAACAAGAAGCTACTAGAAACAAGTGCCACGCTAGTAGTAACAGGTGCTTTACTAGTCAACAAGAAGCTACGTCCGGGAGACCCGGACCGCTCCCCGTCCGGCCCCCCGGACCCGCCTCGCTGAAAGCTGGGGATCGCGCCACTGCTTCCGCTCCGCCCGGGTGTGGGCAAGGACCCATCCTCGGTCCGGCACCGGTGGGTGATGGGCTGTGAGCAGCCATCTATAGCATGGGCGGTTTGCCCCCCCTTCTTGGGCACACCCAAAAAAAGGTGTGGAGAATGCACGATATCCTGGCGTCTTTTGCTCTAAGAAGCTCTCCCTTCTTTACACACATCGTCCTTTCCACCTCTATAGGTCATCTATAGAGTTGCCAAAAAGGAGACGGCCACTTTGTTGCAGGCCCCTCGGCCTTGTAGTACTACAACATCTGACCGAAGCGCCGAGTCCAATCATGACCAAGCACCCGAACGGTGTTAAACTGACGAAGCACCCAAGGCTCACGCGCACCGATCGGCAGGCATTGAAGAATCAACTCGAGATCGATCGATTTGCGTCAATCCAAGTGTCCACTGGCATGGGCTGCTGTGTGACAATCGTCCTCCCAGGTGTTGGGATAGGAGATTGCTCGAAAACGCCATCCTGAGACAAATGCATGTTGCCACTCGTCGTGCCAAACTGCTCCAGGTGTTTTGGCAACAGTGGCTGCACCTAGTGGATACCCAAACGAACAGCCACAAAAATTAAGGTGAATATGGATCAGAACTCGCCCTACGGACCTTGGTCATCTCTGACTCGTCTACCTCATCTACCTTCCACCAAGCATCTGCATGCGCCAAGCGAATCTGCTGGAGATTCACCGGGGGCACCGTCGGGTGCGCGCCGTGAGGCGCTACTCCGGGCGCGGCGGGCGCTCTCTTGACGGCGTGGATCACCGCGAAGCCTTGGACCGCCATGAGTCCAGCTTGAGCCAAGAGAGGCCGCAGGGGGGGGGGGGGGAGGGTGGTGGACGCAAACGGGCTTTTCAATGCCGGTATGGTGCATTGAGAGAGATGGTGGACGGGTGTGGGAATGAAGCCGCCATTTGTGGTTGTCATGTTGCATGAAAAACACCAACTGGATCAACTCTTTACTTCGCATATGCTCCAGCATCTGATCTCAAGATTTGGAACATTTGGAGTGATTCAACTACCTAACGCCACACGATGTCCGTCCCGTCTCCTTGGCTGACACTTTTTCTGGATTGGCCATGCGTGGGACATGCGGCCAAGCAAGTTGCTTCGGGTGGAGTATGCCAAACTTTAAAATCTGTCAGCAGTGGTTCCCATTCAAGGTATTGATTTCAACTGTCCGACATGATCCAGCCTAACGTGTGTCACATGACTTGTGTGCAATCCCACTTCGCACCCCATACAACACGACTCTTGATCATCCTTCATGTCATGCCATGGACCAGCTGTACTTGTGAGTGGGGCAAGGTTTAGGCACTGCCTTTCTGCTCAGGAGCTGGCTAGGTAAGCACACAGTATTGGTCTTAGAGTATGCGAATGGGCTGCATGTAGTCAGGTCGTCGTCGAGCTTTGCCTCAGGGTGTGTGCCCGGGGTAATGAGGCCTCATCCAAGTGCTATTACTAACTATGACTATGCGCCACGATTTCTGGGCTTTGAATGGATTGAGCCAAATAAGCGCTCGCAACTTAGCATGTTCCCCAGCCTTGCCCAAATAAAGGTTCCATGAGAGTTCTGTACGTCTCTCGAACCTAGAAAGGTTCATGTTCCTTTTGATTTGTCTGATGGTTTCTGCGATATCAGCCGGCACTAGACCTACAGCCTCCAACCTACTTGCGATGGCCTCCACCCTAGTAGCTTCAGAAGCTTCTAGTAGGCGTATTAGAAAGCTTTCTTGTTACCATGCAATAGCAATGGCCTCCAACCTACTTGGCACCGAGCCCGTCTCGCCCCCAAAGCTCCCCCCCGCCCACCTCGAGGCACCTGGCGCAAGCGCTTGCGCTCAGCTGAGGGCACAACCACACCGAACTGGAGGGAATCATTTCGGTGCATTCCCAAAGCCACGAGATGGTGGAGCAAAACGATTTGCAACGATTCCCAAGCAACTGATCCCAGGGATAAGGGATATAGGATACGATATATCATCCAATCGTGGTCAACTTTGCACATGTTTGTTCATCAAATCATGTTTACATCACATGTGAAGCATTGCGAACCGCATTGCAAAACCGTCCAAAACTGCCGTATCCCCAAGCTGAGCTGTCTTCCGACCGACCAGTTCGGTTCCCAACGGCCGAGCGAGCGTGGCTTTTTTGCTCCCCTCGGCCCTCACGCCACGGGCGGTGATCCTGAACACCACCCAACGCACGCGGGGGCCGCGCGAAGGAAAGGCACTGCAGGAATACACCCTCTCAGGAAACAATTCGAAATCCCACAGGTTTCTACCCTTTTTGAAGGACATGTACCATTTTAACGACCGACATGTGAAAGGGTGCTGCACTCCAAGTGCTAGGCAAGGGAAGAATCCCTGTGGCCAATTCATTCAATTGTGGCCGAACGGTGCAGGATATAGTTTCCCTTTGTGACCTTTCTCTCCACCTTGACCTTCAGCCCTCGCACAGCACTTGAGTGCTTGTCCAGGCTTAGCGCCTGGCATCATAGCCAACAGCTTGGCAAAACCTAACATTGCGCTACTTGCCATGCCTTGCCTAGCTGCTCAGGAGGTTCCGGATCAATCCTCCGAACTGCTCGGGCGCGGCCACCCTGGCCGCCGCCGCACTGGCCGCGGTCGCGGTTGGCGCGGCACGGAGGAACGCCAGGAGGTCGCCGGAGCCGTCGTAGTTCCTCGCCAAGTATAACGAGTGGTTGTCAAGAGCAGGGCGGTTCCAGCATCAACTCAAATGTGCTGGAGGTTTCTTCAACATCAAGAGAGCGACATCCACGTCATCTAAGAAGGAATCTTGAGAAAAACATAGGACAAATCAATCAGGAACACTTCTTGTCATGGAGCAAGTGGGGGAAAGAAACACACGACATCACTCAAAAGCAAGCGCTCCTTTTGAATAATAAGGACCATCCGGCAAACAACCATCAAACACAGAAGGAACAAGATGCGAACTGCATTTGGCGGTCGATAGTCTTCCATAGTCTTCCAACAGAAAAGGAAGCAAACAAAGTGAAACGCCGAAGTCACACACGAAGCAAAACAAACTCGACTGGTCACCCACAGGTTTTCTTCGTGTTTGGCACTTCATCCCACTTCGTCCGTGGCGAGAACCGTCGCCGAGGGTCTCATAGAGCCATGCACGTCTCTGTGGCGTGAGCCGTGCCAGGCACTTCTTCGTCTCCACAGGTTCCAGCTCCCAAAGATCCTCACTTCCGTGCGCACCATCCGAATCCGAATCCGTCCTCCGCCCGTCACCTACCATGTCCGACCGACCTTCGGAGTTGGAGTTCGGGCACCAAAAATGGCATGACCATGGCACGGCCATCTTGCTTCTCCAAAATGGGCTTCCATGTGCTGGATTTCGGTATGTTTCTCTATAAGTCCCTGCTTTGCAGACTTCTTGTGGAATCCATTGGATGATAAGCTGAAGAGATGCTGGCTCTTCATCGTCATCCCTCACAGCAAGACCCAGTGAATCTCAACGTCAAAGGGTTCTGAGATGCGTCACTGCTTCCTCTTCACCCACTCAGCAACAGCGCGGAAGTCAATGCCCAGACACTCTGGAACACATGTCAAACACAACATAAAGCCTTTGGATCCTTGTCTCTCTCACACATACACACACCCAAGCACACACCACTTCCAGACTCACTCGACTCAAAGATCCGAGCATCGATGAACTCCTGGATCCGTTCCAACTCCGCCGCCGCTTTCACCGGTACCGCCGGTGCCGTCTTCGATGCCGGCACCGACGCCAAGGCCGACGCCGTCGAGGCCGGAGCGGCGCGCACGGCAGGTCCTAGGCGTCCGTGAGACAAAGGAGAGGTTCTTTTCAACGCCTCATGCCTTCCGTTTTGATGTCGATATGAGATGTGTAGTCACTTGTCTCGACCTCGCCCTACCTCATATGTCTGTGGCTCACTACGAAAAGGTCTTGACGTCTAGGCGCTCTTCTCAGCATGTCCGTTGTAGGGCTCAGGACGCAAGAAGGGCGACGTCTTCAGCCTCGGCGACGGACGTTTCCCATCGTTTCCCTTTCAACACTGGAGACGCCCGTGGAATTCGCAGAACAAGGAAGAAGCAGCCTGCAAGTAGTTTCTTGTTGCTAGTGGAAATGGTCTCCAACCTAATAGCGATGGCCTCCAACCTAGTAGCTTCTTGTTGCTAGATGATGCTAGATGGACATCACACAATCAATCTGATGGCCAGTGGCGGTTTGTAAACGCTAGTCCTGGGCGTCGGAGCTGTCGGTACGACGGAGTTCCTCACCTGAAGTGGGCAAGCTGCTGCCGCATGAGTTGATCCAATAACCAACTTGGACAAACCAATTCCACCTATCGAATATGCAGCATGTTACTACTCATGTTGGCATATTGTGGCCGGAGGTGAATCCATCCACTTCAAGGAGTCTGACAGACTGACAGGTGTTTGACATCGACAGGTCCAACATGGTCCAATCATTGAACAACATCGAATCGTCATGTTCATCTTATTTCATTGACTTAAATTCACTTCTTTGCCCCTTCATTTCCTCATCTTCACCGCACCTTCAGATTCTGCTTGGCCCTCAAGCTCTCCCCTGGTTCCAACTCTTCCTCAAGCTCCACCATCTCTTCCTCCGTCTCCGGCTCCGTCTCCGGCTCCGGCGTCTCCGGCGCCGTCTCCACCGTCTCCACCGGCGCGGTCTCCGGCTCCGCGTCGGCGCCGTCCTCGTCGAGATCCGCAAGGCCCACCTCGCGGCGATGCGCCTCCAGCAGCTGCAGGTCGATGCGCAACAGCTCCGCTTGCCTCGGGGCTGAAACGTCAGAGGAAGGGACGGTGGAAGGGGTGGGAGGGAAAGACTGGGAGGTTTTCATGGACCATTTGCTACCAAAACATCTTGCCGTGGTTCTTGGCCGGCCGGCCGGCTGATCGAGAAATAGCGGGCCGCGATAAGCTCGCAATGGTATGTTGACAAGAAGTTCACACATTGGGGTGCGTTCATCAACCTTCGTGGTTTGACACAAGTATACCCAACGAAGGGCACAAATCACCCAACTATACAACTTCGAGCCAACCACGAAAACAGCCGCCGCAAAATCAAGAAACGCCGCAGCTTTACAATTTACGCCGCCATACGGTAAAGGGGCAACTTTCTTGGAAACGTGCCTCATACGAATATCTAGGTATATATGTAATATATAATATGTAGAATGTAGAACTATCAATATTTAACTTGCAAAACTGTTGTACATGTTGGTCCTTTGGCTTGTCTACCGCTCTCAAGAACAGTGTCCTGCTATTATCTGAACAGTTCAACCTCCCCAAATATCCAAACATGTGAAAACCACGCCTTTTGGATCTGAACTTCTGCCATCAAGGGTGCTTGCTTGGGTATCTAATCGTATCTAATCAAGAATGCAACCACCAAACCTACAGTAATTAAGTTTCTCTGCAAGTCAACACGGGCAACGAAAACTGGATGAATCAGGATCGCTTGACCATTTCGACATTCTTAATCCGACCAACGGGGTGAAAGTCACCAATGCTTCTGACACTCGGTCGGGAGATTGCAACAAAAGTGGTCGTTGGTATCATTCTTGTCTTGCAGTGAGACAAAAACTTCCAATTCAGGAGCATATTGGATCACAACAGCAGGTGCATCACGGTCTTCCAAGTCACCAGTGGCCGTTCCTCTTGTAGTCCTGGTCGTTAGCCAAGGGGTAGTGCTTCTGCACTCGACGAAAGAGTGCTAAGGCCTCCTTTTCCCCGGACCTGCAGACTTGATGCCACATGGTTCAGCTCCTGACGCTTTGGAGCTTTCAAGACGGTTTGGAAGATAGGTGTGGCTAAACCTGACGAAATTGTAACCATCACTCTCAATGTGTGGCAGAACATGGCAGAACCACTTACTGAAACCTTATGCAAACAACAGGTGTTGCTGTTGCAAACTCCTGAAGCCTTCCATGGAACGTCATCAAACTCGTCTGTGTGTTCATTTGCGAGTCCCAACGGCAGGATGTGCAAGATGTGTGCCTAACCCGCTGCAAGATCTTACTCAAAGGGCTGTCCAACCGGCTGCGCCTCTGCGGCTGCTCGTTGGGTGCTTCGCTCTGAACACCTCGCTGTTCTGGCTGGCGTTGCTCCATGGCAAGACCCCCCCGTGCGGTGTGGCGCCTCTCAGTGTCTCTGACACGTGGTGTTGGCTGGTCTGTGGGGATGTGAGAGGAAGTCCAATCCCAGCATCTTCAAAAAGCTCAATGACATGACCTCTATGTACCTGTATGGTCTGTAGGATGGCTCAAAGCAACCTGGTCTCATGATGTCTCATGGTCTTTCTTGTTGGATTTGTGCAAGCCAGCTGACAGGCTCGACGCAAAAGGCGCATTGGAAGTCAAAAGCTCCTCACACTTTCCTCTCACCAAGCTTCCTGTGCCTGTTTCTTTCGTCTGTCAAGCACGTGACATGTCAAGCCACGCTAAGCCAGCAAAGCGTGGTGGAACAGTGAATTCTCAAATAGTCCCAGACCCACAACCCAGCCTGGCCATGAGTGCTGAGCTAGAAGCTGCATCGGCCCGTTTCGATGCAAGCGAGCCAGTCGGCTGCAGAACAGTCCATGTTCGCAGCGAGCCGTCCACACATCGTCCGGAAGTCCCCAGTGCAAAGCGAAGTGCTGGGACTTGGAAGGGAGGTCACCGTTCTTCGATTCTTCTGGTCAACGGGTGCTTTTTCGAACACCCTGAAGGCATTGAAGCACGGTTCTCTCCAACGCGCCGTTTCCGCCTGCCGAGCAACTCTCGAGATCGCAAGCGAGCTCTTTGGAGACGATCTGAACTTTGCGCACTGCGACATCACGGGCTCCACAAGACAAATGATCAAATAGCTGCCGTCAAGAAGAGCGCACGGACGTTGTTTCATGGACGTCTGTCTTGGAGGGACCTTGGCATTAACTAAAGCAGCTTTCGAGCAAGTCTTTCAGGGGCCAAGCGATGTTCCAAGCTCAGCTGCTCCAGCGATGGGTGGCAATCGCCATGTTTCATGGCGATACACTCTCAACCAACGGCCTCTGGGCCATCAAAACCATCACGTCGCGCAAGCCCTGCACTGATGGTCAAAAGGGAAAAAAGCCGTGGCGATTGGCCCCGAACCAGGTGGGATGGATCAGCTCAAGAAGTCGAGCAACTGATCATTGAAAGATCACTGAGGTGATTCACCTGGTGAACGGGGCAACCGCTGCCTTCAGACCTCAAAGTCTCTATGGCTCCGATGAGGTCTCTTAGCATAAATGGAAGCACCCAACGTGCAGGTCTTACAGGTTGGCCATGGTTGATCGACTGGCCGAATTGCCAAAAACATCTCCAAGAAACACCATTTGTTCTTTTTTTTTGTATTCTGGTCCCTGTCAACACCAGATCCCCTCAACCGCTCAAGCACAAGCACCAAGATGCACCATGTCACCATACACCTAGACGCCTAGACCAACACGGTGCTCTCTTTTCACACAAAATATGCCTCCAGACCTGCATGAGAAGGATTTCGGGGAACGTTACGCAAAAGCATTTGGATCACTGGCGCTCCATCAAGCTTTCTTCTTGAAGAATGCGGCAGCCGTGACCGAGAAGAGACATAGCTGGGGCAAAATGAGGCCATGACCGTGCCTTTTGACACCATGCGCAAGCTGGTGTGGCAGGAGAGCACCTCTCAATATCCCAACAAAGGTGTCAAAGGTTGGAACCCATTCGATCCACTAGTGTGTTGGAATGTGAGATCTCCACACAGGAAGCACAAACCCAGGGATCAGCAGGAGTCATCAACAGGTGGTTCGTCCACTAGGTCAAAGGAGGGTTAACTCCAGGCACTCGAACAAAGAACACATGGTCAAAGAAGGGAAAGCACATCGGCACCTAATGCATTTAAGCAGTTGTGCCAAAATTCAAAACGCCCTGAAAATAACTACCTCAAAGCCTCAAAGAAGACCTTGGTGTTCACTTCAGGGACTTGGGGACAGGAACTGCAGACATGCTCAATGTCGGATGTTCAGACTGAGGCTGCTGGATTCCAGATTCCGGAGCTGCTTTTCGTTCTTTCTTTGTCCCCTTGTCTTCAGATCCAAGTGACCGGAATCGGGAACCGGCTTCTTCTTCTTCTTCGTCTTCTGCTTCTTCTTGTTCTTGTGGGGATGGTAACAGAATGTAACAAAAGTCAGTGTCTGCAGGAAAAGTGCCTTTGAGCCTTTTGGGGGTGCGAGAAACAATGCACATTAGACCTGCTGCATGCTTCAGTCATAGCAGCCGGGCGCAAGTCACCATGTTCCCACTATATCATCCCACACAGCAGAGTGGCTTTGAGACTGCAAATCCGAAGTTATGAGTGCTGACTTTTTCAAGCTACGAAAGACCTGCTCCCACATGATCTGCCCCTCTATGTCGGAAAAAAGCGCCGAAAGCAGTGCATGCTGATTTCAGGCACCTCACCTGTCAGTAACAGGTGCCACGCTAGTAGTAACAGGTGCCTTACTAGTAGTAACAAGAAGCTACTAGGAACAAAGGATAACAAAGGCTATCTGCTAAGATTTCCATAAAGTTTTTCTTGCCTCGAAGCGCAGGTGCCTCCGATCTTGGGCCCCTTTGGCTTCCGAGGGCCAAATAGTACGATGGTAGGAGCCGACAGCTTTTGAGGGTCAAAAACTGGATCGAACCTACTGCTGCTTAGAGGCTTATCAATTTGGCAGCCGGAAAACCTGCTTTGGATTTGAAGTAGCCAAGGTTCCTCTGACAGGAGCTTACCCGACGCACCGATCTACCTCCGCCACCGCACAGTGCCACATGGCGCTTTGGAGTGATTTTGCAGTCTGTCTTGAGAGTTTCTTCCAAACACTTCGAGGAGACAGTATTGTTAACAAGAAAAAACTGCCTGGAAACAGGACAGAAAAGCGGACGAGGACAACAGTCCGCTGGGTTCCAGCCTTTCTCCAACCGGTCAGGGGCGTGCAACTCGTTTGGGGGCCAAAGGGCCACTGAATCCAGCAAGCCAGCGTTCGTAGCGTCCGATCGTTCCTAGTAGCGATGCCAGGATCCCCGAACGTAGCGAACCTTGCTCCTAGTACTCCCTTTCTATCTCATCTCATCTCATCTCTTCTCCAGTTTGCCTAACCTCACAGCTCCATTTGGCGCCATTGTGGCTCACATGTGGTGGCTCTGCGGCTAAATTGCTAAACATTGAGGAGCTTCTGAGGGAAGAAGTGCATCCATTGCCTTTCCTCCTCGGGAGAGATTGGCCGAAGTCCGCCTTGGCATGGGCGAAGCCAGATCCCCCAGCATTGGAGGCATCAAGGCCCATAACCCCCAATCAAATCACTCACGCTATCGTTGCAACTGATTGGTTCGCTGGAGCAACTTGCAAGTAATGTGATCCCAGGCTCCAATACGAGTACTCCGATTTCCTCAGAAACATTCTTGTCGCACCCTATAGAAGACTAGGTCTAGGTTATATATGACCTATAGACCTAGTCTTTGCCGGTCTTTTTCTCTTTACCAAGGCATCTATCAAGCCCCAGCTCCAAATGCTCCACCGTCTGAGCCGGCGAAGCGCTCTCCGTCTGGGCCGCCGCACCGGTGAAACCACCAAACTCACATCGCTTCACCATCTTCTGCCCCACGTGAACGCGCAAGCGATACCATCGGGACCTGCCGCGAAACATCGCATGCGAGTCGACGCCATGCGAGTCGAGCGTCTTCGACCGTCTCTGGACCCACCGACGGGCGAAACACAGTCATCTAAAAACGGTTTAAACCGCTAAAACTGTTTATCAAAAAACCGCTCAAACTCGTTGAGTTGCTTGGATCACATCCTTGGTGCTGGTGCTTTCGATCCCCCACGGACCGAGAAAGGAGGAATGTGGTGGGTTCGGGCCCAGTGATTGGCCCAGTGGTCTTCAAAAGGCTTCACAGCCCTAAGTCATTTTGTTCTTAAACTTGGCTTGGAGCTTTAGCTCCAGTTATCAAACTGACTTGCAATGCTGCAGCACCCCTCTCGCCCAGCCCCGCCATGGAGAGAAGTGTTTGAAGATCACACAGGCCCAAGCCTAGGATCCGAAATGACCCAAATAAAATCTATCCAAATCGAAGACTTTGCAATCTTTTTGATCATTTTGATCCTTGTCATCACAATTTTTTAGATGTGATGAACATGCGAAGAGGCAATCTGCTGAATACTGGGCGCTGGGCGGACTTGCCTTAGTGCACTCAACCAACGATATAGTGCGCACGCTGGAGCAATCTCCCAAGTATAGGAGACCGCTGAAGCAAGATCTCCGACGTGAAAAACCATGGAGCCTGGTGCTTTTCTAGGACGCTCTTGCCCTTTGTGCCGGATCCACCTGAAAACAGTCATGGGGTCCTGTGTTGACATGGGCAGGCTAAGCCACCTTTCTCTCGAACAAAGCGCACAAACGACTGCCTCGCGGCCCGCGCATCCCCCAAAACCCGCGCGAGGTCTGCCCAGCCCAGCAGAACAAGCAATCCAGGTCTTGGAGGGACCAAGAAAACTGGGGGGTTCGTGGAAAGCATCAGAATAGGAATGAGATGGACAATGAGATGGAATGCGTCCCAATTCTATAGCAATCCTTGGTGAGAAACCTAACACCACCAAAGCCCTTGTGCGAAACAAACACGCCATGGGGCCACCCGGGTCCACGCGCAAGTCTTCCAAATGCCCGTGCCTCATTTCGAGCCCAGTCGCGAGGAGCTGGACATGTAGGTCTTCTGAGGTCTTCGGGTTGACTTTGTTCCTAGTAGTAGGGCCAGGAGCCCCTAGTTCTCATGATTTGATGCTTATTGCCGCCAGCGGCCCTCGAACTTCGCTTCTCACTCCCGCTTCTCATTTCGTCTCACGTCTGAAATTCCCTTTGGGAACGTCAGCCGTCAACTCTGAGACTTGGAAAGCCCAGGTCACCAATGTACCGGGCGTTCCCTCGAAAACAGCCGCTCGGTCCACACTCTCAGAAGGTCGGGGTCGGACCGAGCGGCTCGACCGAACGGTCTGGGCCTCGCGCCTCGCTCACGTCCGACCTAGCTTCCCAGTAAGGTCTTGAACTCTTCAAAGTCCACCAAGCGCGACTCCCCGTCTTCCTGCTCCTCGTACTCGTCCACATCAGACCCGGTCAGTCCTCGACCCAGATTCAGCATGACACTCCGGAGTTCCTTCATGTCAATGAAGCCGCGACCATCCCGGTCAAAGACCCTGAAGGCTTCCCGTAGCTCTGCATCCTCATCTTCAGCCTGAGCTTCCATCAAGCGATCCATCATGGAGAGGAAGTCCTCCAAGCGGATCACGTTGTCCCGGGCCACCTCTGCCCTTCGGGCGTCAAGCTCAGCGTCTGAGAGATTCAAACCCAGCGATCGAGTCAACACATCAAGCTTGTTGGCTTCCACCTTCTTGGTATCACCGCCAAGCTTCGAAGAGCCAGCAAACAAGCTGAAGGCCTCTGTGAACTCACCCACTTGCTCTTCACTCAGTACCATGGGCACAGCGAAACCGAGGCAAACCAAGCTGAAGCCGAGAATTCGAAACAATCAAGTGCAGAACACAGTTGGCTCAACACTTCTCGATATATTAGCAGCCCAACCTTGAAGTCAACTCTGCCCAAGACACATGTAATTCTTGCATGTCGCAAGTAGGTTGGAGGCCATCGCTATTGGGTCCCTCAAAGTCTTATAGTCTTTTTCTGAGTGTCTTAATCTTATATAATTCTCTATCCAACGAAAAGTAAAGCCGAGGTTCCACCACCCAAAAGGGCTCGCCAACTGCATCTTCCACTGCAGCTCCACTGGCTGACCCACCTGACCAGGAACCCGCATCAGAAACCGCCTGAGCGGCCACTGTGTTCAGCCAACCCTGTGAGATCACGACCCTTTTTGGAGTCCGAATGCAGGGTTCCACCTGGAGAATCTGTGGCTTGGACTCTGACCTGTCACCTCTACGTGCATCTTCCAACTCATTTGCAGCCACCTGCAGTGACCTGCTACATCCGTGATGCAATCTGTGACTTCTCCTCCCACACCTCCACCTGCAGCTCACGTGTTTCACCTCCAAGGCCGGATGTTCTCCCACCAAGGCCTCGAGACCTCGTAGGCCCTCAAGAACCTGGCAGAACCCCACGGTGGGAGGACTGGCCACGGACCCGGACCAAGGTACCAAGCGAGGACCTCCAGTGTCGTGAAATCTCATGTGAAATCGCAACCACAGCAACTCTTGGGAAAAAACGCTTACCCATTGAAGGCCATCGCCTATTAGGTTGGAGGCCATCGCTAGTAGGTTGGAGTGCTCCGTTCAAACGGTCCAAACTTGGAGGTTGAAGAACCCACCAAGCTGCAAGCACTGACCGTGAACCACACAGCACCTGACAACCCTCCTGCCATCCCTCTTGGCAGCTCTGTTGGGGCACTGTGTGACACCCCGGTATCTAAGAAATGCTCTTACGGAGCATGTAAATAAGCTGTTTGCACCATGAACTTCCTGGTCGGCCTGATAAGGATAGCAATCCCAGCGAATCCGAGGGACCTGCCAATGGCGTTGCTGCCAGGCTGGCGTGCGCGCGTTCCCGTCTCTGCGCGCCGGCAAAGCAGGGTTGATACGACCGATGGCACCCCACGGCGCCACGGTGCAAACGAAAGCGGACCCCCATCTGTCTAAGGCAGTCAGGGGGTTCCCACGTGCTATTCAGACGTCTGAAACGACGTACGGACACCCTTTATGTCTGGCATGCTGTCAATTTGAGGGCTCAAGCATGCTGTTACCCTCGGCTAAGCCTAAGCATGCCAAGCCTGACAGGATCAATGCCAAAGGGGCAAACCTTTCAAAACTGTTTGGGTGATGGAGCATGGCACTATGGACCAGATTCTGTTGTTTTGGGCGATGTGTTTGTCATACTGCTGCTACACCTGATGTGTGCGGCGCTCAGGCTCTATGCGGACTGGTCAAATGGGCTTGTTACCAAAGCGCGGTGGGAAGGGGCAGGACTGTTGACCAAGTGCTGAGCACTCCGAGGAGGTGAACATCTCGGGAGTTCTGCCACTCCAAGACTACGGCGGGACACGCAAACTCTTCGCGGCGCCGGCCCATTTGAGTTGATGGGATCTTTTCTGCTATTGATTCATGATTGCTATGGGAAGAGTTTGGCCCTTACAGCTGGCTAGTGTGAGTGGCAGAAATCTATATTGAAATACATGTGAGCTGGTCGTGAGGCCGCTCACCAAATATGCTAGGAAGTTTTCACAATTCCTTGACTCTTGAAGTGATGCATAGCGTTCTCGTAGCTCCCTGGACGTCCCACACTTACCCGGAAATGGTGCTGCATTTGCCTGCGCGTTGTTACAAAGAACGTCTAACCAAGTGAAGTTCGGGTGTTCTTGGTTTATACTTTAGTTGCTACTTGGTTTTGTGCATGGTGTGATTTGCTTTGTTCAGCCCAGTTTGCTCAATAGGATGGAGGAATGGGGTTTGATTCGGAGCATGTTGAACAATGAAGTGCATTGCGGTCACGAACAACCGTTCAACCGTTGCTGGCTAGCCTGATAGGACAAACATGATTTACCAACTGAATGCGGTGCATGTCTGAAATGGAGAACTCCGTCTAGAGTCCAATGAGCTGATGAACCATGTCTTAAGCTCTAGCCCACTCTCTAGCCCTGTAGCTCATGACTAATACGTTCCAACATTGATTTCCAACCTTGTGATCTCTTCCCTGCCCAATGGCAAGAAGCTACTAGGTTGGAGGCCCTCGCTATTAGGTTCCTTTTGCTATTTCAGGTTGGAGGCCACTACTAGCACGAAGCTCGAACTCGGAACACATCCTGCCAACTCGGCCTGAGGAGATCCCTGTTGCGTGGCCGTCGGCGAAGACGACAGCGACCGCGAGGACCACGTCGAGGTCGGACTCCGATGGCCCAAGGCCGCGAGCCCCGCGCTCCGAAGCCTGGCTTCGGCAGGGCGCGGCCCGTGCGATGCCGCTTCAAACGAAAAGCATGAGCCCCGAACATAGCGTCCGATCGCTCCGTTCGTAGCGATGCCAGGAGCCCCGAACGTAGCTTCTTCTGGTGAACTTGAAGGAATCCCATCCAATCACCGAAAACATCGCAACATTCGCAAAGACCGTTCTTCTTCGGCTGCAAACCCCTCCAAAAGAGCACCCACGCCATCCATGACCAAAACCAGCGGCCTCATTCGTGCGGAGGGAGGACAAAACCTCGGCCGTCCCGACTCCGCGAATCCAACGTGCCGAGGTGTCGATGATCAAAACAGCCGCAGCTGCTCAGGGTGTCAAAGAAAAATTACAACCTCAGGGCCTGCCGAGCATGCCAAGTGACTTCAAAATTTGGGAGGTCAGAACAGCTACCAGGAGCTACCAACACAACATGAAACAAAATTACTTGTCAGCCAACACCGTCCGTTCGTGGGTTGGGCGTGTTCAAGAAGATGCAGTTCATGCAAACATCATTTCCTGTCATGAGTACCCGGCCATCGGATTCAGGGCCTTCCTGCTTGCATTTCTTTTGGATCTGCATATGGCACAAGAAAACTTGTTGTGATACTCTGGTTGTAACCAAAACCATTAAAAATACAATTATATAAACAAAATATGCAAACTTTTATATCTTTTTCAGGATGGCTGGGCACACATGTTTTTTGCAGTGGCTGGATGTTCTCTTTCGCACTCCATGGCACAGCCCTGCTTTCGAGGCACCGCAGGCGGTGTGCATGGTCTACTGGGATGAGTTCGGGCCTGCGCTGCGAAGGCGCCAACGACCTTCCAGTAGCTTCGAGTAGCTTCCAAGATACTTGTTCATAGGTGTTCATTCGCACCAAACCTTTTCCCTCATCCTGTTGCCTTCCTTTAAGAAGAACCTTAGGTTAAATTTCATTAAAGTAAATCCAGAATCTATGAACATCATGATTCCTTTTGCAACAATGAGACCCGACTATGCACCCTCCCAATCATGAAGAAACCGTACCACATCAAGCACTCTTCACATCCCTCACATGTGCCAGCTTTAGTGCCACTGTGTCAGTCACGTTCATCGTTTTCGGCCCAGCCTCACTTCACTTGCACCTTGGTAGAACAGTCGATCTGCAGGCCTAGAGCTCTGACAGGTCCCAGTTGGCACCAAATCTCTTGTCCTCTTGCTGATCAGGTGCTGATGTAGGATGCCACGTACACATCCAAATGCTGGTCAAAGGACACCCGCGCCGGCATGGCGGACATCGAAAATCCCAACTTCTTCCTCTGAGCAGCGTTTCCGGACATGGGAGCAAGCCTAACAACTGTTGTGGAGTTCTCATGAGACAGGAAGTTAAGAAACTACGTACCTTTAGCACTCTTCAACCAAATGACGTGACTTGCCCAGTGTGGCAAGAAGTTGTCGCTTGAAAGTCGGCTGACGGGTCTGTTGCTAAATATTGGTAAATGGTCACCCGAAACTATATGCCATAAACCAACCGACGCTGATTCCTCACTCAGCAATGCCCACCCTGGCGTGCGCCAAGCATCTCACGCTCGAAAATCTCCAAGGGAAAATCACATTGGCCTCTCCTTGGATCTCGGCTTGCCGCTCTCAGTCTCAAGAAGCCAAAGGACCTTCGGCTTAAAGTATATCGACCCCCCAATGGATGCATACTATGTATTGAGCACCATTGGAAGCCGTTTCTACCTCTTTGGAGACGCTACTAGTAGCTCCTGGCCTTACTACTACGAGCGAAAGGACGTAGCTCCCACCTCAAGGTAATACCTTTTGTCCGGCCCAACGCCCACGCTTCCCAACCGTGGCATCATTGCCGGTGAGGGGAAGACGCCGGCCACCACCCTGCTCCCCTTGGGACGTGCGAGCATCAGTGTTTCCCAATATAAAGCGCACCATGCCTGAGGCACTTGAGGATTCCAGGACACATGCTGATGGAATGATCTGACTGCATGGAGCCTCATGAATGAACCAAGCAAGTACAAAGGCAGATACAACGTCAGATCATAATTCTCTCAGAGTTCCATCTTGGGAGCACCAAATCGTAGCATTCTATATATTCTATCAACCGGCAGGGTCTCTGAACCGCCATCGTAGTCATTGGTGGACGGCCGGCTTCACATGCGCTTCAACTCGAGTAGAAACTTTACATTCCCGCTTTGTCCTTGCTACTAGTAGCGTTGCCCGGGTTCCTAGTAGTGATGCCAGGAGCTACTAAAAGCTTCTTGTTCCTAGTAGCGATGCCGTTTGCTCCTAGTAGCGTCCTTGCTCCTAGTAGTAAGGCCAGGAGCCCCTAGTAGCGTCCTTGCTCCTAGTAGTAAGGCCAGGAGCTACTAGTAGCTTATCCTAATCAATACTTTTGACTCTCTAGGCGCCTCTAAGTGGGCCACTGGTGGGCGTGATGTATTAGCTTGTTCCATGTGTATGTGTGACACGTCTCACACTTGCATGTGTATGTGCGTATTACTTTGCATGTGTGTGTGTTACATCATACATCATCTTTGCATCTGGACCTGCACCGTCCGATACGCCGCGGT